GGCATATGCCTTGGGTATACTTGTTCCCTTCCAATGGAAGAAGAGACACAATAGTTTCTGAGCTCGAACCTAGTTATCACTCCTTATCTGGCATCCAGACTCGATTTGGGGGAGGGTGACTCCCCCTAATTCCTAATTCCCCCTTCCTATTCTGGGAAGGAGATATGGATACAGATCTTTGTTGGGCCCCATTGTGCTTCTCCAGACCCATTTCCCCGTGTGTCTGCATCCTTTAAGACTCCTACCCTCCTGCCCTTGGTGAGTTGAGACTGGGAGAGGTGGGTCTGGCAGGTGGTGGGCTGCGGTGCTCCAGAGCAGAGGAGAGGTGTCCAGCGGTGGTGGCGGCGGTGGCGGGCCATGCTGCAGGAGAGCACGGTGCTTTCCGCGGTGCTTGACAGAACCATGTTCCGTTTCCATCATTCCACCACATGGTTAGATCAAGCACAAAGGAAAGCCCCGCAGCGACTGGTCAGAGTCAAGGTCAGGAAGCAGCATCAGAGAGAGGACAGGAGCGCTCAGAGGAAGCAGCGTGGAGAAGCGGAAGCCGGAGCAGGCCCCCACTGAGCGTGATTAGTACCAGGAGTGGGGTTCCACTGGAACACTTCTGAAGATAGCAGCCCCGCTGCCACTGTGCCCCACCCCAGGGGTGACGCAGTAGGAAGGGAGAAGAACAGGAGGGAAATCACTAGATGCCCACGCTCAGGAGCTTCAGGGCAGCATGGTTCCTTCCCAAGGAATGAAAGAACACTCAGACATCTGTGATCCTATCACATGCCTGGATTGAGCCTCTAAACTCCATTTAGTCACACCAGTTGGTCTGACAAGACATTAAACTTAGCAAAGCATCTTCTGCATGCTTTGCAACGTAGGCCCAACACCCCCAACAGCTGAATGTTTTCATCACAGCCGTTCCTCTATCCCCTTAAGTCAAGAGACAATCCATAGTTCCCAGTGGTCTAGCAAACTTTCAATGCTCTTCTTTAGGAAAAAGCCCCCTTTGACATTCCACAATTCAGGAGTCTCCTTAATATCCTTTGGGCTCTCCAGAAATGCTCTGGCTGATAAACACTCATCCCAGATCATTTGAGGTTTAATATAGGAGTAGTGCAGTGTCAAAAGAAAATACATCTCTAGAGCCAGACAGAAAGACAGGAAAACCAATGAGGCCTGAGGGTTTGGACTGAGAAACCTGCAATCACAGTTGTTGTTTGAGAACACTGACTTTCACAGAGATGGTGGCCAGAGAGCCTCATGATGAAGGGCCTCTTTTAGACTAAGAGAAGGAAGGAAAGGGAAGCCAACTGAGGAGGCTGAGGGGAAGACACTGAATTCTGGGGTCCTTTTTGATTTCTTGCTCTTTTCTTTGGCTAGAAATTATGAGAGTGAGCAGGATGAACCAATAAATACTGTCAGGATGCCCAGGGCCCAGGTGAGCTACCCAGTTTTTATATTCCTATCTGTGACAGATCAGGGTCAGTTTCCATGCACCTGCTGACTTGGGACTTCCTCCCATTTGGGATTGGGCTGGAGATGTGCATCTTGAAGAAACTCGAGCTAAGGCCAGGTGACTGAGACCCTCTCTGACTGACCTCTGACATGAGGGCCAGTATCATCATTCTTCCATTATGTGTTTTTGGGACTGGGTGTATGCTCTAGATGGTCTCAGCATCTCAACAGTGCAAAGGCTGTCTGTCATGATGGACAAGTTAGGAAGACCTAGCCCACAGCTCTGGGTCTGGCCTATCCTCCTTCCTAAGCCCTCCTACAACGTGCACTAGAGTCAGCCACTACAATCTGGACTCCGTTCGGCTTTGACACGGCTTTGCAGGGCTCTGTGAACACTCTGGTTCTGGGTGTTCAAATTTGAGTTTGATTAGGACCCTGAGTTTGATTAGGTAGCAGAGCAGGGAAAATCCATCCCGTTTGTGCAAACCCCTGCTCTCACCGAGCCTTAAAATCTACTTTTCTTTCTCTTTGCTTTCTTTCTACAAAAAGAAATGGAAGGATTTGTAGGTAAATTATCAAGAGTCTTCACAGTATGTTAGAAGTCCTGGGTTTCAGATTTTGCCCTGAAAATAATACTCAATACCTTAGATAAGATTTTGCTGCTGTGCGGACCTCAATGTATCCATCTCTAGAATAAACGGGATGACCTCCAAGGTCTCTAAAAATTCTGTCATTTCTTGAGTGCTATCTTGTTGGTTGCCCTCTTTGGATACCCTGCATCACCACCTTCTGTACTTTTCAACAAGTTTCTTCTCATACAAATCAGGAAGGCATGAGGGAAGACAGACAGCACCCTGCAACTGCCAAGTGCTCCCAGGGGTGGGCTTGGGGTCCCAGGCAGCCAGATGGAGCCTTTTCAGGAGGACTTAATCTGATGGTCAGATTGTGCCAGCCAGCAGCATCCACCTTTAAGCTGATCTTGCTGCCCAAGGCGGCGGCTGCAGCTGATAGAGAGAAGCAGACACAGGCAGCTGGGAAAGCAGACGCCCTGCTTCGGGAGGGGTGGGGGGCAGGATGCATTACGGAGCAGCCCTCAGATTGCCTTCTAATTACATCAGCTGTCTTTTCAATGGGGGTGCTTTTAGGAGAAAGTAAAATACAGAGTTATTATCTGTCACATCCAGTCTGTGTCAGCTGCCCCCTTCTTTCTTCTGGAGCTTCCTGAAAACACAGAGTTTTAGATCTATTTTTTTTTTTTTTCTTTTCCCTTCAAGGCCAAGGCAGGTCTGGAACCCGTGTTTCTCAAAGCCGAGGCCTTTAGAGCTCAGGAGTTGTGCTTTCTTTGCAACGACATAAAATAAAAGCATACAGAGTGCTATGCGTCAGGCTTATGCTGGCTCCAAACATCTCTACTTTTTAGGAATAATCTTTCTGCTTAGTATTGATTTTTTTAAAAGATATTTTAGACAGAGTCAATCCAAGAACCCGGCTCCTTCTCCCTGTCTCATTTTTAAAATGTTCAACCACCCCACCCCCACGTAGGAAAAGCAGCCAGGATCCTATAGATCTATAGTAGGAAGACAGTGGCGGAGCCAGAGTTAGAACTAAGCTCTACCATTCCTTAGGTCCACTTTCTATTTTCCTTTTCTCCTACTTAGTTCTTTCTATTACCCCACCCCCACCTTGCTACCCCCAACACCAGCCCATAGTCATGCCTAGGAAATTGCCAAGACTGTGATCCTGGGGAGACACCAGTCCTTGGATCCTAAACTGACTCTTACCCTGCTGTGCCACGCAGGGCCACAGCGTCCATCTGGGGTCCAAGGTATCAACAGGATACTTATGAGACCAAAGGGTCATCAAGATTGGCAGACAATACCCTGCCCTCTTCTGGCTCTCACTGCCCCTCTTTGTGAGTACCACTGCTTGTCAGAGCTAATTAACTCAGCTCTGGCCAGACAATGGTAGGAATAGAGGCATGAGTCATGAGGAAAGGGCCTGGGGAAAGGACGAAGTGCCTTGGGTGAGATTTTCTTTCCAGAGATGTTGCCTGGCCAAGGAAGGAACCTGAGGACAGTGTTCAGGCAATGGGTTGGGGTAGGGGCATGAGACCAGAGAAGGAGGTCATCCAAGCAGCTTATTGTCCTCCCCAAATACTCCTTCTCTCCTAGATGCTGCGTGGTGTGAGGAGCAAAATGAACCTGAGGTTCAGTCCTGACTCTGCTATTTGCTGGCTTGTGACCGTGGAGTGCCCCTTCACCCCTAAACCCTCAGTTCCCTCTCCTTTAGAGCGAAGGCCTCTCCTACTGACTTCCCAGGACCACTGGAACAAGCAAATCAGACTAGAGGCCTTCAGCACCATGCTCATCACAGGTGAAAGATTGCTCTCGTAATCGACATCATCATTCTAGGGAAGGCAAATTGGTACCAACTTCTCACAGTGCCACAAAGTCCCTGCATTATCTCCAGGCCTTCCCAAGGTATTTGTTTCTGTTAACAAAATTTAAAGAGCTAAAGTTTATCATTCTGGAGACCTTGGTTAAAGAATCTGACTTAAAGGACAAGAAGATGCTGTGAGAGGCAGAAGTCTGCCCACTGGTCTTCTCCCAGTGACCTCTCTCCACACCGGGATTCTCCCCAGGAAGACTCGCCTGCATCAGAAGCTCCTGGGCAGGGGAAGAACGCTCTTGCTGCCAGACAGTCTGTGAGGCTTGGCTACAACCCACCTCGGCACTTTGTGTGATCAATCTCTCACCACTGGGGGCACAATGCAATTTGGTGATTTTTTTTTTCCAGTAGAAAAGGACACAAATGATAGTAATTTTTAACTGCCTGTTCATGTAGCTGTCGGGTCAAGGAGAGCTACTTCTGTTTCCAAGATGGGCTGAGAATTCCCCTGCTGTTCTCCCCCATGTCCTTACTGGGTGCAATGAGAAGGAAGGTTTCTAGAGAGATCCTGGGCACAGAAGAACAAGGCTTTGTTTCTTCCTGAGCACAGCTCTTTACCAGTCTCTCCATACTCAGAACACAGTAGTCTGTGGTAGACAAGACAGCTAGGGACAGTGCTATTCGTGAACATGTGAAACCTATAATATACTGTGGTCAAAGGGTGGTACCACAGTCTGTCTCTGAAGGGAGTGGGAGGTCCCCAAGATTACACACCATCTGTAGCCTCGCCTGAGCTATATTTATTTCTCTATTTGCCCTTTGGAAACAAACAAAAAAAATCTTAGCTCGTACCAGGCACATGTGCAAAGGCCGCCCCAGCCCCACCTTCTACCTAGCTCTTGGAGACACTGCTGCATGAGTTCTGTCTCCCCTGCAACTGCCTACCCCCCCCATGCTTTTACTGTGTGGGTGTGTGTGTGTTTTATTTTAAATCCATAAGGTAATTGGTTTTCTGCAGGGCTAACTGAATTTCCCCAATTTAATTTGCAAAGATGCTCCCCAGGAGCCATTACAGCGCTCGCTGTCCTCCAGATTGGATTATTGGCCTCTCTGGGGTTGCTGTATTCTGAGTCAGAAAGCGGGGCCCAGCCCCGTAACCTGATTACCTGAGCAGCGGAACTTCTTGCTCTTGATCTGGCTGATGCGCTTGTTGGCGAGTCGGCGAGGGCTGCTGCAGCGGGCCCCGCTTGTCTCAATGGGGTTGTCCTGGAGGTAGTCAGCCAGCCACTTCAAGTGGCAGTCGCACACAAATGGGTTTTGGGCTAAGTGGCTGTGAGAGGGATGGGGCCGTTAATCAGGAGAGCCAGCGTGTCTGGATCCTCCACCATCACCACCCTGCCTTGCACTGGGCCCCTGGCAATCCAGTGCAAGGATGCCTCCCCCCACCACCCCAGGTTTCATCACCCCAGGAGGCCTTGATGGGGGTGCTAGTTTCAGATAGGGCTCAAAGAGGGGGTCTGAGGCCTGCTGTCTGCAAAAGACAGTCACAGATGCAGCTAGCATCTGGTCTGGGGAATCGGTCTCCCAGCTCTTCTCACTTGGGGCAGGATCCACCACTGACCGCTTCTACTCTTACCCATAGTGATTCTGACAGGCAAACCCAGTTGCAGGCTTAGAGTTTGCACTTGGGGTAGAATGCATTTTATTTCCCTAAGCTCAGTGATACTAAGCACATAAAGCAGCTGGCACGGCGCCTGGCATATGGTGGGTGTTCCATATATAGTAGCGGGTATTGTTGTAATTATCCTTATCATCATAAGAGCACCATGGGTCTTGCTTCCCCTGGCTCAGTAAGAAAAACCGTGAAGCACTGAACACAGTGTTTGGCACGTGGTCAGTGTCAATATATGGCCACTGCTCTTACTGTGTCTTGGTTCCTGTCTCTGGCTACAGGGACAATAAGCATCAGATGACTTACAGGGTCTCCAGAAACCCCCAGTCTACTTGCATGCTTGGGCGTGGGGCTGGGGTCTATGCCTGAGGCTGGAGCCTTCAGAAAATGGGCTGAAATCTGTACTTGGATGTCATCTATTTAAGTAAAACGTTTATGAATATCTGAAATGGATGGAAGTGAGGAAATACTTCCCAAAGAGGAAGAGTGCCCACCTCAGAGGCTTGATTTTACAGGGTGGGTAGGAGTGTGCTTTTGCAGAAATGGAGTCTGCTCAGAATACAGTGACCACAGGGGTTACAAAGGTAGCTCAGGACCTCCTTCACCTGGATTCAAAACCTGCTCACTGCTAGCTGTGTGATCTTGAGGAAGTTACCTAAGCATTCTATGCCTTGGTTTCCTTCCATAGACACGAGGGATAATAACAGCATCAAACAGGGTGGTTGTGAGGCTTAAGGGCTTTAAAACAGGATAAATACTCCGTGTGGTGTCAAGCACTGTGTAAGTGCTTGGTACAGATAAGCTATTCCTATTTTTATGATTTTAGCTTCATTGCAGGCTCTAGAACTCCTCCTGGATGTGCTTGTCCCACCCTCATTCAGGTGTTTTCCATGACAGGCATTTGGGTCTCCTGCCGCATGGGCACCCAGTGGCACCTGAGGCAGCATACTCACAGCGTCTGGATGGACTGCAGGGGGGCGAAGAGCCCCTTGCTGATGGTCTGCAGCTTGTTGTCATACAGGGAGAGCAAGTTGAGGTTCTGTAGGTCTTGAAACGTGTTCACCCGCAGGCAATTGATCTTGTTGGCATTGAGGAGGCTGCAAACAGGAGAGAGCTGGGTGATTCACTAATCCTGGTAATTACTTGCGGGGCATGGGCTGCACCTGCAGGGGATGGGCTGCAAAACTCCCATCACTCATACTTGCAGCCTTGAGCTCCCCCTGCGGAACAGAAAGAGAGCGAGACCTGCCTTCCTGTGTCTACCGAAACCCCAAACACTTCTGGGCACCTGCATACACTGTCACCACAGACACTGTGCCACGCACTGCTATTACTTGGCACCTTCTCTTGCACCCATGACCTTGAAGGAAGACCTGAAAAGTCACCCTAAGTGCTTCACTTTGTGTTTTAGGATTCAGAGCTTCCAGAAATCGAAAAGAAAAAAAAAAATAATTTGGTATAATTGTTTTAGAGCTTTAATTGACTGACTACGGGCAATTTGATTCAGAAAATTCCTTACAGTTCTTTTGGATCACTGATCCTATTGGCAATGTGAGGAAAGTTATAGGTCATCCTCCCAGAAAAACTGCATTTATATGTAGGCAGGTATGTGTACATACACATGGATTCTGTCTCATACACAGGTGTGTGCACAACCACACAGAGCACAGAGTCCCATGTAGTTTGACCTGGCCCCTTTCCCCAACCTCATCCTAATCCCACTCACCCAAAACTCACTACCCTTAAGTCCCACCACTGCCTTTTTTTTTGACATGGAGTCTTGCTCTTGTCGGCCAGGCTGGAGTTCAGTGGTGGCATCTAGGCTTACTGCAGCCTCCACGATTCTCCTGCCTCAGCCTCCCAAGTAGCTGGGATTACAGGCATGCACTACCATGCCCGGCTAATTTTTGTATCTTTAGTAGATACGGGGTTTCACCATGTTGGCCAGGCTGATCTCGAACTCTTGACCTCAGGTTATCCACCCACCTCGGCCTCCCAAAGTGCTGGGATTACAGGCCTGAGCCACTGCACCCAGCCCACCACTGACTGCATTTTGGTTCCTCAGACACACCAGGAGACTTTTCCCTAGGACCTTTGAACACCCTCTTTACCTTATTTCAGCAGGGCTTCCTTCTTTTCCTGCTGTGCATTGTAGCTCAAATGTCTCCTCCTCAGAGAGGCCTGCCCTGACCCCCTCATCTACAATGGGACCCTCACCCCATTATTGTCTCCCACACCCCTCTGTTTATTTCCTTTCTGGCACTCATCGCAATTTGTGATTATAGGATTTGTTTATCATTTACCTCCGCATAGGACTAGGAGCTCTATAACGGCATCGATGACATCTGTTTTATTCGTCCCTTTCTTCTTGGTGTGTATTCTTTATGAAGATGTATACTAAACTCCACATACAGCTTCAGGGGTCTTCATTCTCTAAGGTATCACCCATCCCCCCCACCCCTTCCAGGGTCAGCCTTCCTATCTATGAGGGATCGTGTTTTTAGCTCTTCAGACTCCCTAAAAAAGTATTATAGGAAGCTGCCCTTTGGATGGAAATCTGGGAAAGCAGAGGATGCCATGAGGGTGACAGAGAGTTTTCCAGAGCAGCGCTGGCAAGTCAAGCACATTGAGATCTTAAGAATTACCTTTACTTATTCTAGACTGACTAGGTGTGCCTGGCAGCCAGTGTAAAATCATTTCTCACCCCCTCTCAAATGAGACTGGGGGAAGAGGAAAATAAACTAACCAGCAGAAATGTTGAATTTCAAAAATTTTACTTTCAAGGCTGGCTCAGCCCTTCCCTGGTGGGGAATGACCCATGAGATCCATCCCGGGCTGGCCTGCCTCATGAGTCTCTCCAAACCAGGACCCAGGGGGGTTGCAGCTGGCAACGGTGAGGCTGCCCCTGGTGCTCAATCATCCGTGCCACCTCTCCCTTTCTGCAGGCCCCCCTCCCCACGGTCCTGGTGCACCCACGTGCAGGCAAGCAGCTGTGGCAGAGACAAGTGGAAGAAGAACTGCCTGTTAAATCTGGCTAATAACGGGCAAGGTCCCAGGGGTTCACACAGATGTCCTCCTGCCTGGCAGTGGAAAAAACGCTCATGCTGCTAGAATACTTTCTGTGTTTTCCAAAGTGCTTTCCCAGTGACCCACTGTTCTCACAGGAACCTGGGCAGATGGACAGAGCCTGCCTCACAAGTGACAGGGGAGGAAACTGAGGCTGAGAGTTTGGCGGGCCTGTTTCAGGTCACACATGTCTCTAGGGAGCATGCTGGAAATGGTTATGATAATTGAATTCTCTAGAGGGCTCATAACGTTTCTTCTTTATGAATGTCTTGTCTACCCATCCAATCTGTCTATACTCTTTGCAACATCCCCTCCCCACCCCCACCTCCACCCGCACCAAATTCCTATGCTTTTTGTATTAAATTTAGTCAATGTCACTGCATTTTGGGGGCATTTGAAGGAAATATGATAGAGCTGAGAAACAGGGAGAAAAGCCAGAGGACCCAACAGAGCCCAGCAACCAGGGCTCAGGAATGGACCCTTCACACACACACTGTTTTGATTTTTTTTTAAGTCCATACATGGTAAGAGTTTTGTTCTAAACTTTGACATTCAGGGCCTTCCGAGTACATCATCTTGTCACGAAATGCTGAACTATTGAGTACATAGCAGGTCAGAGGTGCCTATCTGATGGCCTGAGGATAGAATCCTTCTTGTGACATTTTGAATCATGCCACATAAATAAAATGTGTTTAATCAGTCCTCCCTGTGTTTTAAAAATTGGAAAATTTCATACAACACACACACACACACACACACACACTCTCTCTCTCTCTCACATACACACACACACACACACACACACTCTCTCTCTCTCTCACATACACACACACACACACACACACACACACACACACACACCCATACCATACCACACCAGATTTCCATTTTCTCTTGAAAAACAAAATTCAGGAGTACAGGCCACCCTGGGTTTCACGGAGGCAGCCATGGAGTAGCTGCCCCCTTTAGATAGGACATATGCTATTTGCCACAGTCCTCACTACTCCCTATTGTGTCCCTTCACTAATTTACTTGACCTTCCTTGCCGTAGTGGGCATTTAGGTTTAAAACTCCAGAGCATATTCATGAGCCCAATTGTAGCACTTGGTTCTAGGGCATATTAGGCACTAGACAAGGAATATGGCCATGGGGAGAAAGAAATGGCAACTTGGACTTGCCTTCATACAAACTAAATGCCACCCTGGCAATGCCTCTTCACTCATCAGGCCTAAATATAGGCTCTTTTTTTTTTGCTCATTCAGATGCTTCTTTGTTTCCTATTGCTCCTCGATCTCTCAGCATGGGATGTTAGTTCAAATACGGAAGGCATCAAAACAACCCAGGCTGGCAGAATTACTAGGCGAAGATAGCCCAAGGTACAGGGCTCATGAACACAGAGCAAAAGAAAACACAAAAGGGCAGAGTCTTCTGGTCATTCATTCTCTCCCAGGATGCTTGGCTCTCTCAGGCGAGGTGTGTAGGTGCAGGCAGAGATAAAATTAAGCTGCTTATCCAGAATTAGATGCTGAGGACAGCCACACTGGTCCCCAGCATCAGCAAGATCTAACAGCCTGTCTTTGTGCCCTCTTTCCTTTAGGAGGAAGGCTGGCAGCTACTCAACTCAGCCTGGCTTCCATGAAAGAAGCTCTTAGCTATTTGGTACATGGACAAGAGTTGGAGGGGAATTTTAAAAGCACCATATTATGGAGCAAATAGAGAGTAAACAAACATTTAGAATGAGGTTTAGCAATTCTTTAAGGAATTCTGAACACAGGCCTCCCTCTTTCACTGGAGAGATGGATTCTCCCTCTTTACAGCAGAGATTCCAGGATGCTTGCTCTGTCCTGGCTCATCCCACTTTGAGGAGCAGTGGTGTAACTGCTGTGTGAAATGATAATAATGCAGCATCCTCTCTAGAGACATCTCTGTGTGCTTTTCTCAGGCACTTCCCAGGCACTATCTTACTTAACCCTCACAAGAACACTGATTATCTTTATTTTTTCCCATAAGGAAACTGAGGTTTGGAGTGGTGATGGATTCAAGGTCCCCCAGCAATAAGTGAAGTTCCAGCCTGTTTCACTCCAAAGCCATCTCTTATCTACTACTTAAAATCTGTATTCTCTTTTCCATTTTCCCTGTGTGTGAGGAGTGGCTATTTTTGCTAGCCTTGACTGTACCCGGGCATGCTTCAGGGGGACAAAGGTCTGGTTGGGTTTGGAAGATTCTATTTGCCTCTTGGGAATGCAGAGGCATCTGAAGTCCTCTTGACTCCCAGGGAGGAGCCTCAGCATGTGATGCTGATTAAGCCTTCATTGGCACAAGTGGCAGGTTCTTTAGTGCGTGGCTTGAACCTGTACAAGGCAAGGCTTCCACCTTCAGGATCATTGGCTGAATGGCAATGTGTGAGCGATATGCCTGCCTCTGTGCTCCCCTTACTCTGAGCAGGCCCAGGGACAACTACAGGACAGAGATAATAGCAATTGCACACAAGCTGGGATGTCCCAGCTGGCCTCAGTCAAGAGGCTGCCTGGTACTCAAACTGACAACTGTGACATCCCAGCTCTAGACCCCACCTCAGTCCAACTTGCTGTTGGATCCAGTGAGTCAGGCACATGGGAACTGCCTGATGAATACTGTACTCATCGGTTTCCCCAGATGCAGATCCAGTGAATTTTTGGGACCACCTGCTCCAGACCTATCTCCCAAAGGACCCTTGGAGATCACGTAAATGAATAGAGAGGGAAGGCTGGGATGATCAGAACAGGTGAACCACAACCACCACGTGAACAGCAGGAGCCACATGACCTAACAGGTAATGCATATAAAACACTTCACAAGGCCAGGCACTCCCATTTAATCTCCTGCTGACAGGTGACACTTCTGGGACTCAGAGAGCTTAAATAACTTTGACCAGAGTTCCACAAGCAGTAAGTGGCAGGACAGCATTTGGACTCATGCCATAATAGACCAAAGATTTTTTTCCAATCATCATGCTGTCCTGAGGGCCAGTCCCCTCTCACTAAGGGCCTGA